TACACCCTCTGAAAACTCCCAAGGTTTTTAATTTGCGGCATAGTTGATGTACACTATTATATAAGTTTCAACACAATCATTTATAACTGTTAAAGGTTATATTTCATTTATAGTTATTATAAAACATTGACTATATTCCCTGTGCTGTATAATATATGCTACTTGCTTATTTATTTTATGTAGAATACTTTATATCTCTTAATCGCCTACCCCATCCTGCCCCGCCCCACTTCCCTCTTCCAACTGGTAACCACTAGTTTGTTCTCTATATCTGGGAGTCTCCTTTTTTATATATTCACTAGTTTGTGAAAAACCCCAATTTTACTTTAAAATTGGGACTTTGGAATGCTGAGAGAAATAGAGAAATCTTGGTTATTCATTTTTAAAGTAAGTATTAAATGGCAAGAAACATATCATAAATCAAATGTTTCCTTCAAATGTCCTTTGGAGAATACACCTATCATATTTTAGCTACTTGTTTTTCTCTGTTACTAATAAGGACTACACAGCGTGTCCAAGGAGATGCTCTACATAATTGGAAGCTAGATATAGACACACAGATCAGAGAATCTGGGTCACAAAGGAGAAAATGCCTCCGACATCCTGGACATGCACTAAGGAAGATGCATGGCTTCAGGCGAGCTCTGATAAGAAGTTACTAAGGAAAGAAATATGAATTGATCATTTCCAGATTCATTAGTTTACAGCTGACTCCAAAGGCGTGGAGAGGTGTCAGAGCATTTGAAAATTAAAATGATCAAATATTAGTTTTTAAAGCTCTGGCTGCAAGGAATTTCAACAATGTAAGATATCAAAATGAGATATCTAGTTCGCTTGTTGGAGTGTTCTATTTATCTGCAAACAGGTAATCTCTCGATAGTAGATAGTATAATGAGTTTAGTCATTTTCCCTCCTAGTTTTACTTTTGTCATTTCCCAAGTTTAAATGAAAACAGCTTTCATCTTGTTGTGGGGGTGGGGGGTGACAAAGCCCTGTGATTGTTTTATATTTTCACATATTTTTATATTTTATGATATTGTGACCTGAAATTATGAAATACTATAGCAGTTGTAGAAAATAGTAACTGGAAAACAAATTTATAAGTCTTAAAGGATTGTCCTAAATTACATACTGAGTAGGTGGTAGAACTGAGATATTAACCAAAAAATGTGACTTTTGCTCCCTAATGCAGTGCTGCATGTCACATCACTAGGAGTAGGTAGGGTGGTTATAAAGTGTACACTTGTAGAAAATTCTTCTCCTGATTTTATGTGATTGTGTGGTCAGTCATGACTCCAGAACCCCAAAAGGACTGAAGTAATTCATCTTAAGACAAACTACCATAGTGCAAAGTTTTATAGTCCTCAAAAGTCTTCATCTCCATTAAACCTATTTTGGGGACTAAACTGCAATTTCTTTAAAAAGCCCAGAGGGTGTAGTAACCTTTCATTTCAAAAAGTGGTGGGAAATATGTCACCTGATCATCCAATGACCTCTCGTGGATGAATCTAGCTGGCGATAAATGCAACCCACGGCTAAGAGCTTTCTAGAGTTTTGTCTTATATTGAATCTTTTTGACCTCAAAAACTCAATCCAAAATCTTAACTCATTTTCCGGTAAATTGAGATTCTTCTCTATGTTCTGATTTTACATATACCCAGAAAAAATAGATTTGCAGTTCTCTGCACATTTCAGATGTGCTGAAGTCTGTTTCTTTTTCTGACCTCTGCCCTGAAGTGTTTTCTCTAAACTCACCATTTCCTAAAATCTACTGTCATGGAAAATTGTGATTGTTATATTTCCTGAAAATATTTTGCTTTTTTTTTTTAACAAATGCAAGAAAATAAAGTAAATGTTTTCTTACATTTTGTTTCATTTTTTTAACAAATGTAAGAAAACAAATTTAAGAAAATTTACTGTGAGAAGCAACTCCTTGCCTGTTGGTGCCTGATGACCATAATATTAAGAATTCTTTAATATATGATGAAAGTTGGTGCCAAACATGGAGGGTATGTGTCAGAGTGTGCAAGTGAGTGTCTATATGTGAGTGTGTTGTGTGTTTGTGAAGTATACATTTAAGCATAGTGTGTATACCCAGGTATGTATTAATACTGGATATTATTAGTACTGGATAATATTAATACTGTGCAGACCTGCGGCTATACTTACTTCCTCTGTCATTTCTGCTTTTGACCAGCCCAGTTTCCTATCAACTCATCTATTCTTTACATTCTTCCCATGGCTCCCACAAAATTATAACAAAAAATGAAAGCTATAACATAGACCATTCTCTTAAGAGCTCCATTTTAGAAAATTTAAATGAGGCTCAAAAAAAAAAAAAAAGAAGAAGAAGCCAGTGTTGGATTGGGAAAGAGAGCAGTAATTGTCATTTATGGAGCCAAGCACTATTCTGAAAGCTTCATCTGTAAGGACTCAGGTGCTCATCAAGATGCTGTTACCAGTAGTAATTTTGTAGATGAGGAAATCGAGGAATAGAACTGTGAAGTAACCTTAAAAAGTCACATATGGTCTAAGGGATAGAGCCAAGATTGAAAGTCAGGGTCTGAATATATGAATACGAATCCTACGCTCATAACCTCTCTGTTCAGAAACCATGTTGATATGTTGTGTTTTTTCACCGTGTCAACCCCCTTTGTGTGAATCTAAACAGATCTGTACTCTTTAACCCCAGATACTGACTATATTTCATCTTGAGAAGGATTCTAAAACACTGCCCTCTACTTCTTTTCTATATTTTATGGGTTCACAAAAGCATATTATGAATATGAGAGCTTTTCTATAATACCACCTAAATTGCCAATCTTAATACTTAACCCTAATCCACTTAGGATAAACGTAGTCTATATGTTTCTACAAAGGACATATACCTGCTTTACCTATGATACCACATAAACCCACAATCTGCAAAGTCAAAAATAGTACCATAAATGCCATTATAGAGTAATAAACACAGTCATAGGTGGTATAACTTTCCAATTTGAAATCTCTGTATGTAACTCTACATATAACAAGTCTGAGAACAATAAGAATTATTTGAAGAAAAAAGATGATTTCAGTATGATGAAAGGTAATTTCATTCTATTAACATATAATATATATGCAAATATCGTTATATTCTTTATTTATGTTTTTCACACCTCCCAGGGTCATCCATATCTAGGCTAAGACGTCCTGAAGATAAATATTTGTTATTTGATCTTACCATAGTTTACACACTGGCATCTCAAAACAAATCTCTATGCCTTAGAATTAGGTATGAGACAACTACATTAAAAAAAAATTTTTTTTGATGAAGGTGGGAAAAGAGTGTTTATTACTCAAGGCCAGAGGAACATATGATAACACTATGTTTAGTTTAGGATCATACAGGGACATTGAGAAATAACTCTTGTTAGTCACATTATTATTAATACAAGCATGTACTCAGTTGCTGGTCTTGTCTGACCTTTGGGACCCCGTGGACTGTAGGCTGCCAGGCTCCTCAGTTCATGGAATTTCCCAGGCAAGAATACTGGAATGGGTGGCCATTTCCTTCTCCAGGGAGTCTTCCCAACCCAGGAATTGAACTCATGCTATCTGCTTCTCCTGCTTTGCAAGCAGATTCTTCACCACTGAGCCACCTGTGAGTGGAGACGATAAGTAACCCTCTAAGTCAGTAGATGGCAAATGTTTCTGTAAAGGGCCAGATAGTAAATATTTTAGTATTTGCAGGCCATCTGGTTTCTGTTGTAACTGCTCACCTCAATCATTATAATTCAAAAACAGCCATAGACAATACATAAATGAATGGGTGTGGCTGTATTCCAACTAAACTTTTTTTTTACAAAAATAGGCTCTAGGCCATCTTGGGCTAGCTTACTTATCTTGTGCTAAGTTGTAGGTTCACTATGCAATTCATTTCAACATGTACTTAATAAGTTATTAAATTGGGTACGGCATCATGTGGAATATAAGAAAAATGTGTGACAACTTTACCACATTCAATAATTTTTATAATTTTTTGGATGGAATATGATGCCTTGCATGAAGAATTAGGTAAGAAGCAATTGTAGGATCATATGCAAAAATAAAGAGTTTATCTTAAGTATACTCTCTTAGGGCTTTCCAGGTGGCACTAGTGGTAAAGAACCTGCCTGCCAATGCAGGAGACATAAAAGACATGGGTTCGATCCCTGGGCTGGGAAGATCCACTGGAGAAGGAAATGGCAGCCCACTCTGGTATTCTTGCTTGGAGAACCCCATGAACAGAGGAGCCTCTTGGGCTACAGTTCATGGGGTGGCAAAGAGTCAGACACGACTGAAGCGACTTAGCACTCATGCACACACACACATATACTGTCTTAAATTGACTGCCATAAGATCATAGATATAAAAATGGGTTGGAACCTCAAGCTAAACCCCCATTCATTCAGTCACTTATCAAATACTCTGGAGCACTGAGTGAGGAGCACTCTGGAAGGCTTAAGTTAACAACGAACAGCTCACATAGTATTAGTCAACTCAGTCCTGTCCAACTCTTTGTGACCCCATGGACTGTAGCCCAACAGGCTCCTTTGTCCATGGGATTCTCCAGGCAAGAATACTAGAGTGGGTTGCCATTCCCTTCTCCAGGGGATCTTCCTCACCCAGGGACCAAATGCTGATGTCCTGCATTGCAGGCAGATTCTTTACCACCTGAACTACCAGGGAAGCCCGGACTTCTCAGAGTCACAGAACACCTCTCAGAGTCACAAAACACCTCATAGAGTCACAGAATAAATGTGAACCCAAAATCAAAACAAAGCACATGACACGTCGTAAAGGCCTCATGTGGTCCAGGCCCTGCCTCTTATTGGCTCATTATTTTTATTATTGTTCCCATTTTGCAATTGAAGAAAATCAAGTTCAGAGAATTCAGAGTCACCTATTTAAGGAAGCTACTCCAGATTCTTCAAGAGAAAGATAATTTTCTCTCCCACAGGTGGCCGTCTCACCCTTACCTTCCTGCTGAGCTGGCTTCATGAGCTGCTCTCATCTGCACTGTCATTGTGCAGATCTGCAAAATGGGAGTAAAGATGCTTAAACTTTTACCTGCATCCTGAAATCAGACGCTGTTTGCTCTGGAAATACTGACCCCTTAACTATTTATGTTTCCTTTTGTCTTGTTTTGCTGGTTGAGTTTTTTTAAGTTGTGAAATTATTTACTAATTGATGGGGATCAGACCCTCCAGACGTTGTCCTCCCAATCAACCCCACAGAGCTGCTTTCTCACTTCCTACTCTGCTTAAAGAGATGCACACCGAATTGCCAGTATCCCTAGTGCTCCCTAGATTGGCTGGAGACAGAACCACTTGAACTCCCTAGTAAAATACGCTTTCTGTACATTTACTTCACACGTTTACTTTGATTTTTAAGCCTGCGGTTTAAGAAAGTCATATCTGCACACTTCTGATTTGTGCTTTATTCATTTTTAGTGCCCTTGAGTGATATTTTAGTGTCATAGGAAGAAAAGAAATAAGTTAACACCAGGCATAAAAGTTGCACTCTGTAAATAAAAATCAGCTCATTTTCTGTGTTCTGAACCCCACTTTTCCTTCTTCCTCCTGGACTCTGAGCAGCGACCGATCTGTAAGCTGCTTCGCAGCCCTCATAAGCCACAGCATACACTAAAGGACATTCTGGCTAATTAATACCCATTGAGTGAGAAGCATTTATTTTTAAGTTGGAAAGGTAGGAAGATGATAGGAAGTTCTAAAAACCCTCTTTCAGTCTCAGATCCACAACCTTCTGTCAGGGGGAGGAGCAGAGAGCAAGGCTTGGTGTCGGCTTGCCATCAAGGCAGAAAATCCAGGCAGACTGATTTCTGGCTGTGAACCTTGCTCCCACAAAAGCCCTGAAGTAAGACCTTACTGCCGCCTAAGGTCCCAGCCCCACTGCTATCAAAATAACCCCAAGGAAATATAAAAAGTTGAGGAAGGACAGTGCTCACTCATTTAATATACTTTCCTCTCTTGAAAGTTAAGATATCCTCTTTCTTGGGTCATGGAAGCTGGATGTTCTTTTGGTCTTTGGTCTCATTCTGATGTCACTGTTCATGAATATCAGAAACTACTTTGAAGAGTGTGGACGTGGAAAATAGCAAGATAATTCAAAATGCACCTCACATGGTATCAAAGCCTTAATCTGACCACATTCCCTCACAGCATGGCTCAAGTGATAAAATGTAAAATTGAAGGAAATGTATAAAAACATGCCATCACGCTTGTGTAATCAAAATGCCAGATAAATACTGAATGACTAGTAAACAGAAGCATCTAGCATTTAGTTTTCACTTTTAGTTATTCTCAGCATATATCATTTGTTGTAATAAAGGGCAGACAAAGTTGAATAGAATCAGATGGTGATTTAATTTCAACCTTTAGAAAGAAGGGTTGGAGTGAGGAGAGATTTTGTTTTTTGTTTCAGTTTCTGAAATCCTGTAATTATGTGCAATTACCTATTATGTCTGAAATTGGTTCTCAAAGATGTAGAACCTACTTTGTGTTCTTTAAAAAAAAACTGTACAAAATATGCAATTTAAGAAGGGAACAGTTTGAGTGGGGAGAAAAATGAGGCTACAGCTGTAGGATTTTGTTATGCTTTTCGTACCAAATCACAAAACCCATTAAATTATTTATCCTACAGGCAGACGTTGTACTGCAAACGTTGAATACAATTGCAGATTTCAGGAAAAGAAATGTGTGCATTTTAATTGTCTCTGATTTAAACAATCCCTAATTTCATTAGCCTTACTTTTTTTTTTTTTTTCAGGAATTAGGGTTTCGTTTTTGTTACGGGGCTGCAAATGACACTAATATTTTTTTTCTTTCCTTAAAAACTGGCTATTTAGTATTAACCCATGTAGAGGCATGAATCCATATATACATGTAAGATACATACACATGCATGGCGATCTGCAATATGCCCCCAAAGAACTGACAATGCACCTAACATATCCTTGGTTCCTTATATATGCATATATATTGGTTTACACAATTTCACTTCCACTGTTACTCCTGCTACTATGTTATAAATGAAGATATCCTCCAGGATTCAGGTTTATAAAGCAGATTCTTTTTTCCGGGTGAAGAAAACATAAATCTATCAAAGGTTGGGTCACATGGGTGAAAGCTCTCTCTCAAGTCATAGTTTTGGGTTCATTTGAAAAATCTGAGCTTTGCTATCCTCTGTAATTAAAACTCTTCTGTCTTAAGATTTATTGGTGCAGTAGTGAACGCATTTTCAGAATGTTTCTTTACAGCAGCTATTGGAAATCTCTAACTCTGCCTCAGGCAGGATGCCGCGGCTGCTGTACTTTTTGGGGTCTATTCTCCCCATGATAAATGAGCTTAACTTCAAAGATAAGTTACAACAACTCTCAGAGGGGAAACCCTTATTACTGTTAATATACGTTAGTCTCTGTCACTGCGTCTCAAATACTGTTGCATAGAAAAGGAGTCACACAAGACTGCTTACCTCTTCCTTTGTCAATAGAGTCAGGGTATGCATATGCAGAATTTAACAGAAATATTGGATAATTATTTCTTTCCTGAGTCCTGGCTATTTTCTTTGTGTGTGGGGAAACGTGGATATTTACTACTCTACAATCCACTGACACTGCCAATATGTGTGTGTGCATATGTATATGTGCAAAACTCAACCTTATGATGCTCAAAGTATTATTTGACTATCTGAAGCAATCAGTACTGTACAGATGTGGCCCAACTCAGAGATTCCTTAAAATGAGATTTTATTTCATTCAGACGCTCCGTGATCTCCACAACACTATATGATTTTGATGTGATTTTGCCTATTTCAGATTTCATAGTTTATTTCTTCCTTTCAGAGTACTTCTTATTCCCAGATATTTCTATACTCTAGCCCCTTCTCTAAAACTATGCTCCCTGAAGTTGGTTAGGAAGGAACATCTGAAAGAAAAAGTGAACCTTGTAGTTTTGGCGAGTTCGGGCTTCCCAGTTCCCAGGAGGAGGCGTGCCCCCCTCTGCCAGGGTACCTCAGCACTCCTGGGCACAGGGCATCCGTCCTCTAGGCTATGAATGTTTCCCCTCTTCCTAGGTTATTAGCAACATCTAGATGGATGGGTGTGTGCGGAGTGGAGCCTGGCCCCTTCTCCTTTGAAAGGGTTAAAATGAAAAGGGGGCTTGTTGAAACTGGGGAGTCGCGAGGGTGGGGGTAGGAGGGAAAGGCAAAAGGAAAAAGAAAAGGTTAGTGTTTTCTGTCCATTAAAGAGAGTATTCTGTTCTGAAACCGAATTGGTCATGCATTCCAGAAGCGTTTCCTGGTAGAGGGGGTCTGACCGGAGCACCTGCTTTGCTATTGTACACGGACTGCGCTGCTCTGCTTCGGCCCCTTCCTTTATACGAGGGGGAATCTGTCACTTATTACAGACAGATTGCTCGTGGGGCCAGAACGGCTGTGCGCACCGCCGAGGGAGAGGGAAACACGACGAGCGCCGGCGTCTCCATCCAAGCCGTCCTGCACACACTGCTTTGGTTTCACCTCTCTTAAAAATATTGACCTGAATTCCTCATGACATCACGTTGAAGTCCACCAACAAACGAAACCAGCTGCACCCAGGGTACAGATAGGTTCGTATCCCAAGCTAAAGAGTCAGAAATACAAAGAAAGGGTGGGAGTGAGGGGGTTAGCGTTTCCAGAGCTGGAAGAAAAAGGGGGTGTCGTCGCCGTAATGCACGCCGCAGGTGGAATCTATTAGCTCCCGTAAGACGGGAGGTGAAACACTGGACTTGTTCTGTGACTCCCGGGAGGAATTTGCCCGGGTGTCCCAGCTGTGTTTTTCTGCGCCACACAGGGTACCTCTGTGGGTTTATGCCCTGGACAACTCAGCACTGAGGAAGGACACCTTATCCAGAAATGATGTCATAGCCTTACTGCTGCAGGTTTCAACCAGTTTTTTATTTTTTTATTTTTTCTAAGGCATGTTGCTTAAAAGACACACAGGTTGTGAACAATTTTTTTTTTAATGCATGCTTTAAAGGATTAGTCGGTTCTTTTCATCTAGTCATTTTTGTTTTCTTCTTCATTCAAAAAATGCATAATGAACAGAAGAAAACTAGTTTGTTTTTGTTTTTGTTTTTGCATTCTTTTTAATGTATGTATCTGGAAAGGAACTTGCTGTGATAAAATCCAGTTGTGGAGAATACACATTGCCCCATGGCTATCTGTTCAGATTAATGAAAGGTGGCCTTTGTAACCAAATCTTCCAACCCCAGGGTCACCCTCTCTGGCCGTCTAGAACTGTCCTGCTGAACATCAGACAGAAAGACAAATTTTAAATATGTTAGACTTCGACATCTTGGCTGATGTCTCTGGATAGATGTTAATTACAAGAAAAAAAATGATGACAGAAATACATATTGTATAGAAAATGTCTATTAAAAAATCTGTGGTTTTTTAATCTTATTTTTGTGTGAAAAGGTTTAGTTAGGAAGAGCGCAGACAAAGAGTTACACAGAGCACCCCTACCCCCTTGTGGCAATGGCACTTGTAAAATGGAAATTTCCTCCTTTAGAACTGTTGAGACATTTGTACTCAGAAGAACCTGAATTAGACCTTAAGGCACTGCCTATTCTGTCGAAGATCAAAATATGTAAAAGATAGGTGACTGCCTGGCTCTCTGGGAGAAGCAAACAGGTCTGAGGGATTTTGCTTTTGTACAATTTTGATTTTTATTTTGGTTCAGGTTGCAACACATTAAATGTATGTAGTGTATTTAACCATCGGGCATCTTGGCTAGAGATAAAGACCTCACTGTTTATTTATTTAATCTTAGGTATTTATTACCCTACTCAAAATAAATAAAAACTTCATAGTTTATAAAAAGTTATAACCATTTACTCTTATAATTAGTCCAGAAGTTGGTTTGTAGTTGTTTTAGTTGTTCTTTTAGTTGTTTAGTTTTGCAGTTGAACACTGACTTTGCAAATAAAGTTGTTCAGTCACTCAGTCGTGTCTGACTCTTTGCGACTCCATGGACTGCAGCACTCCAAGCTTTCCTGTCTT